TAACCTTGCTCTCAAAAATAACTTTCACTGGTAGATTAACTGGTTTGACCTTCGTAAACAATCGCATTATTTTACTTCACCAATTTTTGATATTTGAGTTTGCTCTGGGGTTTAATTAATGGAAAGTGAAAAGTATTCAAACAGTTGGCTGAAAACAAAAACGTATAAATTGAGGACGAGCGCGGAAACAAACAGTGTCTGCATCGGGACATTATTTTCGCTGTCACGAAGTTGCAACGTTACGAATGCGTGTATCGGTGTGTTATATTTTTCGGGCTGCCGCTCCATTATGGTGAGAGCGGCGAACACAATATGAGTGATATCGCCGCCAAAAGTGTCACCCGGCGAGAAAAATTCGCGGCTATACACGCGCCGGGCAAACGGGCCGGATAAAAAATAGCGGCTGTCATAAAACAGACTGCGTGCCGCAAAAGAGCTGCATTTCGCGTCCAAAATGCTACCAGTGGAGCTGCCACATTTTTAAAAGCAAATAAAACGCGGCAGATTATTTGGCGAGCGTATAGTCGTAAAATAAAAAAAGTCTCTCTTTCCCCTCCGCGTGACGAGAACACCCAGTTCATTTGCTTTTATCAGAGGCGACTCTGTCAATTTGGCCCGTCGTGTGCGCGAAATAATAATTGAAAGGCCTCGTTTTGCGATAATTGTTTTCGTCCGAATCGGGGGTAATTTTGATGCCAAACGGTGAATGTGCCCTATAAAATTAACACTTCGCACGCCAACCGGCGCTGTTAAAATGGAATTCTTACCTTTATTCCCTTTTATTCAAATGGAATAGGTTAAGAATCAAAGACATTTCAAGGAAATATTTCCATTTTATACAGCTCAACCTTTCTGGTTGCATGAGAGGGCAATATTTTTATTATTGGTATATTATTCAAAATGTTCAGTCAGGGCGGAAATTGCCCAGTGTAATGGACTCGGCTCAGTTTTATCAGAGTGAAAAGGCTCTTGTTTAGAGATAATGACGAGTTGGATTGGGAAAATGTGCGATTTTCCCCCATAGAAATTCAAATTCCTCAATTAAATTAATCAATTAAAAGTTAAGTTAACAGGATAATATTTAAGGCTGAAAATCAACAGCAAAAAAAGATTGAATATAAATAAAAAGATTGAATGAAAATTTAAGATTGAAAATAATGAAATATGGATATCGCATCTTGTACCATGAGGGCCATAGACAGACAAGACCCTGTATTGGCGGCCGGGACCAGGGCCTAACCAAAGAAAAATTAGTAATTTAATTAATTGTTTTTTTTTTAATTATCTTTGGTGGAAAAAAATCCATTTAATTTGGCAGTAAAAGCTATCCAAAATATTAACTGGAGGATATTTTCACCAAGTATTGCTTTTATAGGCTTTATCCCATTAAATTAAAGTTGTAGAGATCTAGTTGAAGTTTAACATAGGAGCTTCCCTTTCTTGAAACCTTTCAGTTGCAACTTTTCAAACAGTTCTCAAGGATATTAATATCCAACAAATTATTCTTCTCTCCCATTGATTGAAAGTAAAAAAATTTATAATATTAAATAAAGTTAAAATTAAATCATTTCGCAGGAAGCAGACGCCTGAGACCTAAATCTCGTAGCGGGGGTGCTCGCAGTGTACTTTGCGCGTGCCAATCCATGATGCATGGTTTATTGCGAGACGGGGACATAAAATGCACTCATGCATGTTCAGAGAGAGACATTTCCGAGGAGATTCGCAGACACGGCCGCAGCTCGGTAAAAAAAAACGAACACATTCCTCTGCGCTTGGCTTTATTTTATACTTGCACGCTCCTCTGCATCGCCAACGACATGACGCGCCGACGAAAACCATAAAAATGCAACACACGAGATAGATGCACGTTGAGGACCTTTTTTATTTTGTTATTCAGGGTACGCTTGCTGGGTTTTACATGCACTTCCACTGAAATATTAGTCTCCTTTTTTAAGTTTATTAGTATATTTTTTGCATTTATGACATAAAGTGAAACAATAATTTACAAAAATATTAGTTTTGTTGCTGAATAAAAAAATGCAATAATCAACATTTCAATATGTCTTTCGTTTTGAATTAAAAATGTCAGTCTATTCACGGATTAAAAATTGAAATTTCAATACGATGCTTGATTTTAATTTTTTTTAAGAACTAAATGTTTAATTATATCTTTAATTTTGTTCAATGAAAGAAATGAAGAAGATTATTAAAGAATGTTAAAGAATCACTCTCCATTTTTTTTATTATATTTCTAAATTTTTTGACCTGGTTACTGCAAAAATTGTTTATTTTTTAATACTGAAAGCGGGAAGCACTTCTTCAACGCATAAACATTTGCATACTGAACAGGGACGGATTAGTTGCAAAAGAGAACATTCAACTTCAGAAGATGCTTTTGCATTGCATTGCATCACTCTCTTGAGCAGTTTACTCGTTTTGTCACAGAGAAATGCACTCTATTCCGCGTCCGCTCGAATACGTTTTTGCACTCCGCTCGCGCGCATAATAAATAATTCTAATTGTTCTCCATCTGCTGCTGCCATGCAAATAAACAAAATTGTTTCGCCGGCGGAGTTGTAGCGGCACAAGAGTTTGAAAGGCTGCTGGCAAGTGCGCTGCGTGGGTGAATAAATTATGCATCCCACAAACTGAAGGCTTTTCAATGTGGTACACTGTTGCTGTGCTTGTTTCTCCTTAGAGGACAAAAGTATATTAAACATCTTTATGTGGTTTACATTTTGCTCGCGATCAGTTATAATATTGCTGTACTTTGATGAAAAAGGGTCATAATGTAAATTCCATTACAAGTACAAGAGATAATAAGTTTTAAATTATAAAAGTTAGGAAAAAATGATCAAAAAATTCCTATGGAATAAAATAGCTTTGAGATTTTTTAATTTCTAAATATCTACTTTAAAATATGTTTGAAGAAGTTGACACTCAAGGAGATGATCATGGAAATGAAGATTCGGGCTTTTCCTCGTTGCAAAAAATTGTTTTTTATTCAAAAGCTTCAAAAGGAGCCGTTTGTTTTTGAATAAAAAACAATTTTTTGCAACGAGGAAAAGCCCGAATCTTCATTTCCATACTTTAAAATAATAACAAAATATGTAACCACTATAATATTGCGATATGAAAAAAATCAGCTAATTTCTTGAATTATTTTATTCACTATTTTTTTCTCATTATTTTTCTTTACGCAAAGTAATTTTCATTCCTTATTACATCACTCAGAAACAATAGTAATATCAGAAGTAAAACATTATTAAATTTGTTACACAAACATACAAGGGAATTTGCAGTGAAACACGTACTATTCCGTCTATTCCCCATAGCCACTTCAAGGGTTGTATGATGTGTGTGTGCCTCTTGGATGGCCTCTGAAGCGCATATTTATTAGCTCTCGTGATATAATGTATTTGTATTCATTGTACGTCGCAAAGCCAATAATATCCTTGAGGTATTACAATCTTGAGTATTGCCATCGCACTGGAGCTCAACTGAATTCTTTTCTCCCTCTCGTGTGTTCGAATTCATCACAAACCCATAAATTCTCGCTGCCACGCTTTGCGAAGGAAAAGAAGGCGTTTGCAACGCAAAACACGATTAGCAAATGAAAACCGTATTTCACAAGTTTACTTCGCGAACTGCCGAGATTCATTACAACAGGTTAACTTTTCCTCCTCGTTTCTTCCATTGTCAGAGCCAAAGAAATGAAATTTTTCTGCTTTTCATATTAATATATTTTTTTTAATCGGATTTCACCGAGGGTGAAGACTGAAGAACAAAAAAGGGTGTTGCGTCCGCGAGCCAAGAGTGGCAAGGGCTTCTAATTTGTTTGCCGGCTGAATCGGCCGAGTGATATATATCGAGGGCCAATCCAATTTTCGCAAATTGGTTTACGCGTGAAATATTTTCTGGCTGGTCGCGCCAGCGAGCGTGCGTTCTTTTTTGCAGGCCCAAATGTGCGGCCGCGTTGACAAGCAACATTTTTCTCCGAACCCTCGGGCGTTCCTCCTTCTTTTTTTTCATATTTGCGCCAAATATTTATTTCATCATCCAGCCGTCGACGGCATTGGAAACGCGCGTTTGTTTTGTGGCCGATGGGACTGAAAAAATTATGAATGCCAATTTGAATATTGGTCACGGTTTGCACTTGACAGGCTGGCGTAATTGATGCCTTGGAATTCCTTGCTGGATTTTTTTATTGTTTTGAAAAATAATACAGACATATTAAAATATATTATTTCCATTTTGAATTTTCTGTTTGTTTTAAGAGCATTTATTTAACATCACCGAGTGAAAAAAAAATTATATTAAAAGTTTATTTAATTTAATTAATTAAAATTTATGTCAAAGTATATTTTTTTTGCAGACATTTACTTATCAAGAGTTTTACAGTTATGAAATTTAAATTAATAAACATTATAAATAAATTTGATACACAAAATTGCGTTTTTAATTGTAGAAAGCTATAATTGAATGAATTTAGTGCACTTCCTTAATTGCTAGAAAACACAAATTTACAGTATAAAAACTTCAACATACACAATTTTTTTATTGACAAGCTAATTTTTCATAATTTCAATTTTTAGAAATCTTTAAAGTTTTTATCCAATTCCTAGTCAACCTCGAGCATAATAATTTTAATTTATTGACAATGGTCTCTTGTATTTGCTAATTTTGAGTTAATAATAATTAATAATAATGAAGTTCCAATACTTTATTTACTGATTTACCATCAGGCATTATGCAATTAATGTTTAATATAACCATGCAACAATCCAATTTAGAGAAGATTAAATCTGATTGCGTGTTTATGTGGTATTGAAAATCGTCCCCAACGCCACAGATAACAAAAACAACCGTATTGTTTGAAGATTGCGTTTTGAGGTTTTCGGGCTGGCCTTGTTTTGCGGCCAAGGGTGCTTAGGTCTGCGTACTTGCGGCTAATCAAGCGTTTGACGTGGGTTTGACTTGTTTTGTTGTGCTGGTTGCAGAGTTTCCCGAGGGTCGGCCCGAGCTGAATCCAGAGAAGAAGCGCTACGCGGTCGGCGAGGTGTTGAGGGCCAACTGCACCAGCACCCCTTCCACGCCACCAGCCAATGTTACCTGGTGGCTCAACGGTCAGAGGGTGAGTTCAGTGTGTTTTTTATTTGCAAGTAAAAAAGATAACTTCAAAAGCATTCTTGTCTCGGAATCGTTTCAGCGATTATCTGATCCTTTCTGGCTTCAACTTCAGTCACAAAAGAAAATTTCTATATATGGTTTTTATCCCAGTTGATTCTTTGATAAAAAAAATTTATTTTTGCCAAAGCAATACTTGTTTTTAAACTTTTATTTGTAGAAAAAAATTAACGTTTTTAAGGTTAAATCTCCACTTTCCCAAAATTGATGAATGAAACGAGAAATAAATGAAGAATAAATTTTGCATTATTTACTTGCAAAAAAGGAATAGTCGTGCTACAAGAAAAAGTGCAATACGCATTATTGTTAGAAAAAATATTTATATTTTTCAAAATTAATATTTCACTGAAGTTTTACATCTGGAAAGAATCATTTAAGTCATACTTCCATGGCTTAAAAAACGGTACTAGTTTTTCCGTCTCCGCTCATGAGCATCAAATTTCGTTTTCCCGCGAAAAACGCCCTAATATTATAATTTCAAAAGCAGTAATCGGAATATTTATCACACTATATTCAGGACCGATCCTTTTTGACCAATCGTTTGGCCGGCAACTGCGCGCACAATAATTCGAAAAATAGCATTTTTCCTCGCCATCAAGTTTGAAGTGTTTGATGGGTATGCTGATAACTTTCGCATTGGGCACTGTTTGTGTCAATCAGCGTTGACGTCGACACATTAATCACCCACGGCCAACGCTCCGTGAATAAATAAAAAAACAAATCCGTCCGACTGAGCATCCAGCCTTGTTTCGGATCAATCAAAACTCGTGACAAAAGTTGTTCCACCACTGCTGGCGTCTGACAAGTTAATACTGCCTCGCAAAAAGCCCCACCGACTGCAGGGCGAATCCGTTCCTTTTTTTCATCACCCAAACTTTTTATGTGCCGAAATAAAAGAGAAAATCGCGCTGTGAGGCCTGTCCCCGAACATATGAAAATCTTGACATTTGTAGCTTTTTCCCTTGGTGTCGACGGGGCAGGGCCGGAAGCGTTTTTCTTGGCACAACGTGTACATATGCGAAAAGTGCGTAATGGCTCCCGACCGGAGCAGGTCACTAAAGTGCCCTCCACTCTAGAGCGAGAGGTGGCGAGGTCGGTCAGCGCTCACCATAGCTCGTTTCGGCATTATGAAAATTCACTCCAATTCGCAGTGGAGTGGAAAAATGACGCAATGAAAATATGTACTTTCCAGAGCATCGTCAAATTTTTATTTGCTTGTTCCAAATTTAATAAAATGGGCTCAGCAAGAAAGAAATTGTTTTCACTAATACTTTGGTACTGAACGTTATAAACGCATAATCCTTTTTTTCTAATTCTGTTTGTATGAAAATGAATAATATAAATTATCCCAATTTTAGACTCTTTAACATGGAATATTTGGCGTTTATTGGATTTTTTTGAAATAAAAAGTACAGTTTTAGAAAATTTATAGCAAAAAATAAACAAATCATACTTTTTCTTTTTGAGAGCTAAATTTATGAAATATAAATTCGACTCTTCTCATAAACTCAACCTACTAAAATAAAAATGCCCAGGGCAATTATTTTGCCTTTGAGCAAGCTTTTAAAAACGTTTTCATTTAATTTTAAGCTCCCTTAATTAAAAATTTCGCGCAAAACAGCTCCCTTTTTTTCCATCATGGAAGGTCAGTCAACCTCGTTCTTTCAGTTAACGCTGGGTTTTTCCTTGAAAATGAAAATTGAGCTCAGCAGCAAATTTTGTTAAGAACTGCTCACTTGTATACGCGTCGCTCCTTTTCACCCTCCACTCCGGCAAATTAAGACAGCATAATAAAAAGACAAAACCTGAGCATTTTTCACCTCTGCCTTTCGCAGGCGCTAATGAAGGAACCAAAAAACTCGTCGGGCGGAATTTAATGAAATTCCATCCCCAAGGGGCGGTGAGGGCGAGTCTCCCTTTCTCTCTATCTCTTTCTGCGTCATAATTCATAATTCCAAATTGTAGAGCGCTGCTGGTGTGTGTTTTTCGCCCGCCGCAAAAGTGCCCTCAAATTTAATGAAGCCGCCGCGCAGTTAAAATTTTAATTTCCTGTTGCACCTGCCGCGTGTGCCGGCGTCAATTTGCTACCCCCGCGCCAACTTCCTCTCTGCACCCCTTGCGATGCCTCTTTAATTCGCAATCAGCAGCCGGGTGAGATTGATTTCGCTTTCCTTCTTATTGAAAAAGACAGACTTGAGTGACACATTCTTCATCAGCTAGGCGCCGCTGCTTCGCTTGAGGTGCCGGCGGCTCATAATAATTTCCACACCCGTGCGGTCATAAATGTCATCTGTCACCGCCTGAAACAGGGAAAGGCGGCACCGAGAAAGGCCCCCGCTCGAATCAATCGATTCTTTTCTATTCTCTGCCGCCACCAGCGACGGCTGCTGCTGCTTTTCTTGTCAAATTTCGCCACTTTCGTCATAAATATTCAAATCCCATGCAGCTAGGCCAATCGATCAACAGCTTCGGGAAAGGCGACTGGCACAAAGAGCACACTTTTCTTGACTCAAAATACGACTAACGGCGTAAAACAAAGTTAATGGTGGAAAAAATATTGATTTTAATCCTTCATTTGTTTCTTGCTAAATTTCTTTGTTTTGGAATTTTTTTATTGCACTTAAACCAAGTGTCAAAAATGTGAGAAAGTCTCACAACCCTCCATCATTATTCCTTTGGCCAAATCTTTAAAAAAGCATAAAATCTAACACAACCTTGCCTTTTCTTAACCCCAAAAGAAACTAATCAAACTGCAATAGGAGGGCAAAAGGAGTCCTTCACAATCACCCTTTCCAAACAAATTGCCAATATGTCGCCTTCTGGAAATTTAAACAGTTCAAACTCTTAAAATTCAATTGTTGCGCTAGGCCACTGAGTTCTGTAAAATATACTGAAATTATCAGTGTCACTTTAAATCAACATTGAAACTATATTTTTCACTAAATAGCAATAACAGCTGCTTTTATTATTTTTCATTATATCTGTGCAAAAAAATGGCTTACATTTTTTGGGAGTATTTACATTTTATTTGAATAAAAATGCTGTTTGAAACAATCTCTGTTGACTCTAATGTTTTAAACGACCCTTTTTCTGCTGAGCTGCCAGCAAGAGCAAAAAAAGCACGTTAGCTCCCCCAAAAGTGCTAATTGAGTAAAAATGCAAATTCAACATACACCGCATGGCATAATTCCATTTCCCCCTCAATCCCTACGTTACCCTGAAAAATATTCGAAAAAGTTTAAAAATGCATTTTCTGTCTGCTTACTAAAAAAGTATTTGAGCTGCAAATTATAAATATTATTGATCATTAAAATGTGTTACATGCAAGCTCACTTTAATTTAAATTAATTTTATATTGATTTGTTTATTAATTTTTAGGTGGCTAGCTCAAATATTAAGCTATGCAATCTCATTAACAAAGACTTCATTTTTCCAATTTTCGATTTTCACGTTTTGTGTTCATTTTGAAATCAGAGTTGATTTTTGAACTTAACCCTAATTCATGTTAGAGAGGAAGGAAAAAACACAAATTTAGAAAAAAAAATCATGTATTCCGCAGAGGTTTTACGCAAATATTAAAATCCGCCACATTCATGGTTAGGATAAAAAAAAAATTAACACGTTTCCCCCTTTTTGAATTAAAAATGTGTTGGATAGCAGAGGGGTTGAGAATTATTTTTTGGTGCTCTCCCGGCCAGCACATTATCGCGTTCTGTTTCGCCCGCCGTCGGCCGAGGGCTGAAATGTGTGCGATTTTTCCGTCCTCATTATTTCCATGATAATTCCGGAGGCAACCGACGGAGAAACCGCGACGAATTCGTGCACAAACAGGGTGGGTGGGCGCAATTTCATGCAGACCTTTTAGAGATGGAAGCGAGCCGCGCCTTTGTGTGTTTCACTTTGTGTTTTCTGTGTTGTTTTTTCTGGCCCGGCTGGCAAAAGAGTGTAGGACGCGTTTGTGCATTCAAAACACGTAAAGGGGGTTTCCAGGGTAGAGACAGATTTCCGCGAGTAATAATTCATTGGGAAGAGGAATGAGTCGGAGGAAAATAAACACGCCGCGTGCTTTCTTTTCCCTTCTTCCGCAGAAGAAAAGAAAGAGCAGGGGTTTGTTCTGCGCTAAAAACACAAGCAAATCTTTCGGAAAATCTCAAATGCGCTCGCTCGCTCGCCCGCGGCTCCATTATTCTAAATTTTGCATGCAGCTACGTGCGCCAGGTAAGAAATATATACACGACCGGCAGAAATAAAAAGATTCGTATCGCGCGAAAGATACGCCCGAATGTTCTAAAGAAGAGCCTCGGCCTGGCTACCTGTTTGGAATTTAAAAATCATCCTTTATCTCGCGAGCGCATTTCGCTCCCTCTGTTGCGAAAAACATAAAAAGGAAGGAAACGCCGCTGCGGAAATCTTATCCCCTCCTGTAGAGAGAAAAAAAATGACCGAGCTATGCGATTAAATTTGAGCGTCCTGCTGCGCCCCGTTTTCAATTTCTGCCCTTTGATGTTCCAGATCGATTGCGTTTTATTTGCCGGACTGGCTTTTATGAAACATCCGTAGATATATGAAAAATATATCAAACCGGAGGGCATCTGCTTTTGAGCTTTTGACTCGGAGAAAAGTTATAATATAATATATGTTAGGAGCGGTACTATTGCTAGGATGGATCATAAACTGCAGAAATTTCCTGCCTGGGAGCGCAGGAAAATTACGTTTCGTTTGCTTATAACACAGTAAAAAGGCAATCAAATTGCATTCGTCTGCAGGGAAAAGCGTTGCTGTTTGAAAATATTATTTTTTAAATAGGCCTCAAGCTGGTAATAAACAAATTATTATCTACTTGATATGAAGCAGCAGAAAAGAGGATTAAATAATTTTCTTTTTATGCTCATGATTTTTTAAGTTTTTATTTATAACACTTTTAATGAATTAATAATTAAAAATTATTTAAATTGATTATGTCAGGAGGATCCAATTCAAGTAACTTTAATTTGTTTTTAAAGTTTATTGATGAATATCATTACAAAGTATTTTCTTGCTGCAAAACTAAATTTGTACCAAATGAATTAATTATAAATTTAGTTTCCTGCATTGCTCCTTTTAAGCTTGTATTATACACAATACAAAATGTTTTATTACATTTTTTTATAAATAATTTAGACTTAACTCTTTTCTTTTCTGTCAACGACTGGAATGAAGACGTTACTCGAGGCCAAAAATAGATTACAAACTTCTTGCTCACTCTCTCAATGTCGGAGAGTAATAACATGCAAATCCTCGAGGCGGAAAATAAGCGGAAAAAGCAGGGGACAAGACAAAGAAAGGGAGAATGCGCGGCGGAGAAAGGGCACGCGAGTTGGATTAAATATTTATTCGATTGCGAAGAGACCAACTCGGAATAAGCGAGTGAATTAAAAGACAGACAGTCTGCTTTTCTGCGATACCTATAGCAATAAAAGAGAGCAGACTCTCGGGTCCTGAATATCAACAAGCGAGAAAAAGAGAAAAAGAGCCGAAACACAATAAAGACCAGGAAGGAAGGACAGACGCGCTTTTTTTATTTCAACAATCGAGAGAAAAAGACACCGCGCTCCGGTTTCAAGCCCTGGGGAAAAGGGAAAATGTGCTTGATTAGGGCCGCAGCAAGACAAACCCTGCCGTGATACGGAGGAAGGCATTTTTATTGCGAGTCGCCGTCTTATTAGGGGGCGAGCGAGGTATGAAAATTTTATTGGCAGATTGACACGTCCTTTTACGAGCGGATGAAATCCATAAAAGGCAGATAAAAGTCAAACGGTTCCGAAAAAGTCAAGGCAATGCGATTTCGAGAGGAAACAAATTTTTTCCACTCTCAATTTTCTCTTTTCCAAATTTGCAGGTAAACGAGTCTTGGGCGAAGGCGTTCACACCAGACAAGAAGGTGATACCGAACGAGCCCTCCGACTCCAAGTCAGCGCCGCCTCTGCTCAGAGACGAGTCAAAAGCACCGGCTTTTCCTAGGGGCGCTGTCAGGTCGCACCTGGAGGTCGAACTCGGACTGTCGAGCTTCAGGGACGGAAAATTGCATCTGAGGTGTGAGGCTAATTTGTTCGGAGCGGCGAGGGATGCTGCGGAGGTGCAGTTGGACGAGGAGCGGCCGCGACTGGCTTCGGTTCTCGGAACTCGGGAGAGCCACCCTTCGCCCCCCTCACCCCCTGTTGCAGCTGCTAGTCGAGGTGAGTAACTATTTTAATATTTGATGATTATAGCGTTTTTATTACTTTTTTAATTAAACTTTAAATGTAATGGAAAAAAGCTGCTTTTTCGACATTAATTTTAAAATCAAAATTTAACATGATTTAACATGTTTCCACTATTTTTGAAAATTTCTGAACTTAACATGTCGGAGGAAAAGACTGGATTTGGAAACAAAAAATTATTTGAAAGCTGATAACGAAAAGCCTATGATTCGTAGCATTTAATGTAGTAAAATTCTTATTGGTAGACTCCATAATAACTTCCAACAAACTGTTGAGCTTAAAATATTTATTAATTGATTGTAAAATAAGAATAATCGATCATTTTTAATGGCTCTCTTTTAAATTAATAATGTGGAATGAGACAAGATCCACACCTAAACCGACCTAAAAAATGTAGTCTTGTGGTTAATTTATTTTCCGTGCTAAAAAAAACAAAATATTCAGTCACTTAATATATTATATCATAATTATTCCTTGGACAGGACGATTAATATTTTTTTCTAAATGATATTCTGACAAAATAAATGAGAAGAACAATAAAATTTGGAAAAAAATTGCAATTTAAACAATTGGCCTTCCTTGCCAATTCTTGTTGATATTTTTATACGTCCCTGCATATAAAATCCCCGCACGATTTCCCTTCAACAACACACAAAATCCGGGCGTCCAGGCAAAATAATTTTCTGCGAGCAACGATTTGCTGTACCAAATCCTTCGCCACACAGAAGAGTAGAGCGCCGGTCTGGGCTAGTGTTTGTTCAAACGTGCCGGGCGAAAGGGTTCAAACACGCCAGATACAATTTCATCCCGTCCCAGGGGAGCTCGTGCGCCAAATATTAATCTAACCGATCAATTTTACGGCTAATTACGGTGGCGAAAAAGTTTACACAGTGGAACTATCGGCCGGCGAAATTTACTCGTAGTAAAAAGGTTCTTCTATAGGTGAGGCAGGAAATTAAAAAAAGCTCGTGTAAAACAGAGGCCACAGGTGAGTCACGTTCACGAATCGATCGGTGCTGATAAAAACAGGAGACCGTCTGGGCGACATTTAATAACGAACACGTCTCTTGAAGAGCGGCTTTAGTCAAAAGTCTCTTATTTAGTGTTGAATCAAATCATTTCGTGAGGCAAAAAACTTTGGCGGAACAAGAACATGGGATCTTTGAATGTCACGAACAAAGCAGTAATGGAATTTTCTAGCCCAGTGGACTTGCACGGCTCAGTTTTTCAGACGACTCAATCCGAATTTTTTTCGCAATCGTTCGAGTCTGTGCTCTAAACTGAGTGGTTGGCAGCATGCAAATTTCCTCTGCACTAACTCGATGATTTAGTGCCTCCTCCGTTTTCCTTCAACAGACGTTAAACACTCTTGCTTTTTCCCTTAACAAAGCAGCTGTGTAAAGAAGCGAATATATTTTTTTTTCGCCACTCGTTTGTCGAATGCAAAGGAGTCTTTTTTATGGTCTTTCTCAGAAAGGAAGCAAATTCATCAATCTCGATTGATCAAAAGCGACGCCAAAAGATCAAAGGAGAATCTCTGGTGCTTCAAACAGGCGCTGCTGGTTTTTTCCTGCTCGGTGAAGAAATTGAAAGGGACTTGCCGCTTTAATGATGACGGCGAAAGCTAATTCGCGTGAATCGTTAGCTGCGAAAAATTTTCCGACGTGCACTTTTCCTTGTGTGTGCATAAGCTCGTTTCTACATCTTTGGTAGCTTCAAAGACAATTTAATTCCAATAATATACCTGAAAAAGTCAACCTAAATTAACACTTATGCCAATATATTTTATTTGTTTTGGTAAGAATCTTATTTTATAGCTTCAACTCAATTATCCTTGCTAAATCTGAGTCTCTACGCCAATTTATTATATTCTCTCATTAATACAGAGTAAATCAGTTAGCAGATAAAGTCAAATTATAGTAATTCATGAATTGTGAAAAACAATCTTTGCCACTGAAATATATTTCATATATTTAACAAAACTTTATAATAAAAGAATGGTAATTTTAAGCAAACCAAACATAGCGTTTGCATTAAATTCATATAAAAAATATTTTTTTAATTCAAATTTTAATATTTTTAAATTAAAATATCTGTAGAAAAAATTAAATAAAATGATTTTTAAAATATGTTTGTGACTTTTAAATAAATAGTATTTAATATTACAGTTAATTATTAATTTTATTTTACCAATTTTATTTTAGTTCTTACTTAAAGCAATTTACACTTCTTAAAACGTTGCAGCTGAGTCAAAACATGGTTCGATGGACAACCGCAACACTATGTTTCTAATCATCAAGCGAGAATCAATTGCTGCCGTTTGTTTGTTTGTTTGTTTGAAGTCGTGCAGAGAGCCGGAGGCACGCAGCAATTATTGAGCTTTGTGTGCATGCAAATGCATACGCGTGTGGCGAAGGCGAGTCAATTGATGCAACCGACCGCAAAACGCCTGTTGGCCCTTTGTGCCAAGAGGTCAGTCCTCTAATTAGTCGTCCCTGCAAGTTGCAAATGACGAATTTCCCCTCCGCAGTTGGGGCTGACGACACACGACTCTAGACGCCCTTTGAGCAAATTTGCTCGTGGGGCTAATTTGCAAGGAATGCAGACCACACAACATACCAATCGCTTGATTAGCCTCATTAGCTGGGTTCCGTGTTCGACTTTTAATTAGGTTTTGATAAAAAAAAATCAACAATTTTAAAGTCAATTCAATACACTGGAAAAGTGCAAAAATTAAAATTATATTCCACAAATCGATGATGTCAAACAGACATAACCATCATACAAAATTTGATTGCAAATTTTAAGGCCGGATAAAGCCCATTTTGCTGATCAGGGACCTCGGCCTGGAACGTGACGCCGCGTCATAACCGTTTGGAGCCTCGGGTGCTCGTCGGCGCGGCCTCGATCCGCTCATGCATGCACATTATGAACGTCCAAATGGAATCCGCGCCGTTTTTGATCGTGGGGCGAATTATCCCATCAGCGAAAACACATTCTTGCGTTGCTTTAATGGGGCCATCAGGCCGCTTTTTGATAAATATAATTTAACTGCAAAAAGAGAAAGACTTCATAAAGCCGCAATAATTATGCGTTGGCCTGGATTTGCAAAATAAAAATCGCATTAGCGGTGCTGTTGTGGTGCAATTTTTATGGTAATTGCGTCCCATCGCCGACCGGGCAAGGCGCTCTCTCGTTACCGCGCGCAGCGAAAATAATAAAAATAATAACACGGTCTCTTTGTCGCAATCACCCCGATGGTCACCAGTGCATGCAGACGCTGGGGGTGATTATTGCAGTTTACTGATGTGCTGGATGGAAAAATAACAATTGAAAATTAATGAGTGCACTTAAGCAGTACAATTAGACACATTTTTACTGCCTCCACTTTAAAAATTATTTCAAGCTTACTTTTATTATTGATAAAAAGTACACTCATGATTTTTATTTATTTATGTATTCGTTACAGCTGGAACCGATATTTAAGATTTGGTTTTGAGATCAAAAGGTCAATGTAAGAATTCTACGATAATAATCAGTTATTAAATAAAAATTATAAATTAATTCAAATTCTAAAAAGAAGTGCTTGGAGAAAAAATTCTAAATCTGAAATATATTTTTAAGAATGCAACCAGAAATTAATTAATTGTGTTCTTTTTTCATGGCCAGCGCAAACAAAATGAAGTCAATTAAGCTCTTCATAATATTTCTAATTTCCTTGATTTTTTTAATTTTATTTTGTTGTTCACATGTTTAAAATAAAAATCATTTTCTAATTTCAGGTGCAACGTTGCAAAGCTCGGCTCTGACATTGCTCTTCCTGATGGCAGGACCCAGGGTGTTGCGTCTCCAGAGCTAGCGGTCTAGCCAGGTACCGTGGACTGACTTTTAAAAACTGAACACAAGGACAGTGAGTGACTGACCGGTGCATATTGTTGAGTTGGGTGCGGAAACAAGTGTGCAGCGAAAGACGCTTTGGTTTTCTTCGTCTGAGGCCTCGTAAATGAAGGAGCTCCGTGTTTTATCGGTGTGTCTGTCTCTTTGCTGTCTGCGTCACTGATAATTATCAGCAGAGGGAGCAATGAGCCGGCTATGTCAGTGATCCGCCGACCTAACCATGCAGACACGCAGCTTTTTACGAGTGCCGTAAAAATTGGTTCCGGAACAAGCTAGACGGCTTTGATAAAGTGGTTGCACGCGAGAATGAGGAGTTTGATGTTTTATTGAATGATTATGAAATGATGAATGGTGTATTATTTGAACACTAGCAAAGGAAACAAATTTTTCTCATCACTATTAACTGGACAATGATATCCATAATGTTTCCTTGATAAAAAAAAAATATAATAGACGAGGTTTAATTGTTTTTATCATATTCTAACAATTAATTTGATTATGTTCCATGATATCCATGATTTATTTTTTATTTTTACTGTTTTTTTCTTTAATTTAATTTAGAAAAAACTTGTATATTATTACTAAATAATGGTTTAAATATTTTCTTCAGTAAGCAAAAGACAAAAATTGAATTACAAACTCTTAAAAAAAAATTTTTGAAATTATTTTTTATCGTTGATATAAAATATAAAAATGATTCCAAAAATTTGAAACATATTTTACCTTTTATGTATAACAGGAACTCCTGATAAACTCTGCTTATATTTTATAAATTATAAATCAATTTTTTTACATAATAATTAATTTACAAAACGTTCTGACCAAAGACAGCAAATAATATTTTCGCGAGCCTTATTATTAGTTTATTTTCCATGAGCGCTTTCTGGAAAATTAGATCTTGAGGAAGATCTGAGGCATGGAGAAGTAATTAGAATAATTAGTCATGTTTCCTCATTCCACGTGCATCCACAGCGAGTCGAGGGACGATTGTTGTACGCGAAGTTTCATTGTTGTTAACTGCATTAAGAAGTCTGCTCGGGATTGTGTTTTCATCCTAGAATCCAGGATTAATGTAATTACCGCAGCATCTCTGTGTTGTGAGACGTAATGTTTAATGAGCGCGAGCACCATCCAAACAAAAGAGAGAGACGCGGATGCACTTTGCAGCCGGAGCTGAAAGGCGCCGTCGGCCTTGCAACAATAATTCAACCGATAATTGGCTCTTACTCTTTACTTCGGAAACTTAACTACCTTCGTCAGAAGTTGAACAAACGAAAAAACTGGCAGGTGGTGCTGGCGCTGGAATTAGAACTTATTAAAGATACTTCCAGAGAATTTTGTAAATAATGTGATTTTTGTATATCGAGAACCCTGAATCTTGTAACATTGTGAACAGTGAGAGGAAAGAAAAGTTAAGAAGACACTCAGGTGCTACCGCGAGAGGAACACGGTGCAAGGGCGGTTTTCAACTCCTATTGTGACGCATTCGACCTTTTCATCGACAACCCTTTTAACCCTCAAACGCGAGTTTCATTCTACGAGCGACAAATTTTATCATTTTATCAATAAATCGCATTGTTGAATCACTGTTTTCATTTCCCTTTGGTAAAAAGATCAAATAAACGTGATACAAAATGTATGAAAATAAATTTATGTGTGAAAAATAAAAATGATTTCTGATTTCAACCAACCTATATCATTTTGATTATTTTCATTTCATAAAATATTACGTTAAATAAAATACAACATTGTAAAAAAAAAAATTAAAACTTTTTTTTCAAATTACTGAAAGCTTCATTTAAAAAAATTATTCGTGTGATATTTTTAATGGCATCTTTCTCGTAAATTCTTTAATAATATGTAAGAAAATTTCCTTCACACGACTCAAATAATTATTTCAGTTTTAAATTAATCGTGAGCAGACTCCATTGTCAATTATTGAAGCCATTCACAAAGTTTCAACAGTTAAATTCGCGAGGCGCTTCCATCCTTCTGCTCAATTTGATACAAATAAAATAGACGAGCAAAGTTCGCAAGTCGCATCTAGAATAGGCACTTTGGCTCTTCTGACGTGTTCGTCGGAGGAGGAAATTAAAAGAAATTTATCATTAGCACTCCATCTTAAAATAGCGTGTGCTGTCGGCGGCGAGGTAATAAAGCGTGCGGTGCAAATGAGATGGAAAATAAAATCTGGCTCGCACACCCGCGCCAGCAGCCGAGAAAATGTAATTAGGAAAGGTTGAGGCCTTTTCCGATGCCATGAGCCGACGACTTTTATGGCGTGTGATGAAAACACCGAGCATCACTCACCCCCTTGAACTCCTCCTCCTAATCCAGATGATAAAATTCGCCGGGAAAGTAATGCAGCGCAAAGTAAGTGCGTTTTCATTTGGAGCATTTTTATGGTTCTGCTACGTCGGACATGACTGAAAATGTACAAGTTTTTATAGCAGGAGTGAATAAATAACACTCTTTTATTATATTAATCAAGTTTTCTTAACGTAAAGAATTAATACAAATTCTTAACGGCAAAGTAATAAAAGGATGAAAATTTTGTTTTTTAATTTATAATAAACGGATAAAAATACTATAACTACCATCAATGTTTTATGACATTTATTTTATTACTTCAATTAATTATGTTACTAACTGAATCTGACATCATCCTTTTATATTATTTAAAACATGAGTGACTAAGAAGACAAATATCATCTATGTAGTTTTATAAAGATTATGATTTTATATTTAAAAGAAAATTGTGATAAAAAAAAAGAAAACTGGAAATTAAGGAATTCTTACGGGCAGAGGCAAATTAAGTCTTAGAACAATAGGAGCAATTGTTAGCAATTATTGGAAAACAATTGGAAGTTGAAGCCACCATTTTTGACTATGTCAATAAGGTTTGTTTAATAAAATAAATAAAGCAATAGAATTAAGTTGTGATTTATAATTTCATGCAAGTGTGGCTTTGAATAAATTTTATATTTACAATTTCACTTGACAGGCCAAGCGCAGCCACTTTGTGCAACGCAGCGACAAAGTGCATACTGGAATAATATATGTATTAGACGTGCAGAAGCTCCGTGTGAATAACAATAACATGCAAAAATTGGATTTTTATTGAATCATTCGAGTGAGCATGTGTGAGTGAAGTGGCTGGCGTGTGTTTTTTGCTTTCTCTCGAGTACAGGGAGGATGAGAGCGACGACTTCATTGCGCCGAGCGAGCACAATATCGCCCGGCAGCACGCGGTGCTTCTTCCTTTTGCCCGCCGCCGTAACGAAACAATGCTGGTAAATAGAAAAACATTCCATTTTATTGTTTCGTCCTTTTTATTATTAGGTGGAGAGAGAAAAAGCGGCGAGAAAAAATTTAATCAACTGCCTCGCTGCCGCCGCGAGAAAGCAGCACGCGCCAATTTTCAGGAAATATCGCCGGAAATTGCGAAAAAAAATACTGGTTGGAGCAACTCGAGTTGCTGCTCCATCCAAGTTTCATTCTTTCTTTTCTTTTATTCTCCGCGCGCGTATTTGTGTGTGTGGATGACGACGATAAATATAATTTATTGCCGGGGTGTGTGTCGCCATTTTCAAGCAAGTCCTTCTTTCTTCCAGCCCGGGCGGCAATTACCGCTCCCAACATGTTGTAATTGCTCGTATCCGCGCGCACTAAATCAACTAAATCTATCTGCAGTGCATTCGTCTTTTTTCTACTTCCACTTCTTACGCGCTTGTCCGCCCGCTGTGCGCAAAGTAACTTTCGTGCTATTTCATTTTTCGGGCTTTATATTGCTTTGGCGCCGGGGCAGATTAATTCGCCGTGTGGGATTTGCGCTGTGAATTGTTCGCGTGAACGGCTCTGAAATCAGAGAGTAGAAAATTAATCGTGAAATAAAAGACCACTGCTTAGTAATAAAACAAATGGATGATAACTATTTCGCAGAAAATTTATCCTCAATCCAGTGTAATTGGGACCACCTGCGATTCTATTTCCCTTCCCAGCCGCAAAACGAGGCTAATGAAATTAAAAGGCTCTGGTGAGGGTATGCAACCTGCATGACAAGTGTGATGCGCACTCGGCGAATTTCCATGCCGAAAATCCATTAGAATTTAAGTATCCTAATTAATTCAAATAAGGTTGTCTTTAATCACTACGAAATTTTCCTTTTTACAAAAATCATAATGGCTTATGGGTTTTCGTAGAATAAATTGAATATATTTTTTATTTAAATCAAAAATCTTTTTGAGAATGAAACTTCAAACGAATGCTCTGCTGTGAAAAATTATGTTCTGTCACGCAAGGACGCCTAGAGCAAAGTAAAAAGTTAATTTGTTTAAAACGCTTATTTTCCATTAAGTTTTTGTGTAGCCTTGCGTCATCAAATTACACAATCATATAAATTACACATTTTCGTTTTATTCTACAGGGTAAAAAATTTCTAAAATTAACTAAAAACAAGCATGGTTTTCATTTTTTTGCGATTATTTTCTAACACTCATGAAGTTATTTTTCGCTTTAAATGAGAATTCAGTTGCATCTTTTTTCTGCGGCAGCAAAATCACTATGCAGTGTAAAACTAGACGGCTCGAGTTTGATTGACTTTATCAGCAAGATGCAGGCAGCTAAATGCAAATCAGGCGATTTGCTGTTTTCGCTGCCGATAATGCGCCATTTGTATGCATGAAATAATCATGCTGCGCTGCGCCCCGCCACACAGCATATAAATTTAAATGTATGTACACGTTTTCTCTCTCTCACCTGCTCGAAGGAGGCGGCTAATGGAATATGCTAATCCCCGGCAGCGCTTTTGATTGCTAATCAAGAAGCCGCCTGAGAAAGTAATAATGTCTCCTCCCCATTCGTAAATGACGCAATTAGCACTTCTTGAATGTATATGCGCAAATTGCGGCACCTGAAATTGTTTCGGCACCCGCAGAGTCTGGAGTCGACGGCAATTATCTCTTTAATTGCCCCTTTGCCTCGTGCCAAAAGAAAATTGCGAAGGGCCTTTTGAACTCGGCTGCGGTCGTTTTGTTGGCTGATTACGACTAGGCGAAAATGGTTTGTGGATTTTTCTCTATTCATTAGTATAATTAAGGAAATTCCTTTCGACCGGCATTTATTGCCACTTTTGCAAATATGGTATGGAAATATGTTTCTCTGCCAAGTTTGCGTTGGAGATTTGCTGGAAAGGGTGCGAAGTGGAGCAAGAACTATTAAAGGCGGAGGAGAGAGTGGCAGGGCAGTAAATTGGCGAGCATCATCTCAACTTTCGGTTGTCTTAATGGCCGACTCGTTCATTAATCTAACTGCCGAGCGAAAGCGGGCCGGCCGTGTTCAGAGTGACACTTTAATTATCTCGACTCCAAAGGTACACACACATCGCATTTGAATGGGGCCGCAATTAGTTGGAACGGAACGTTGGCAGTACGAATGCACTGTGTAAATTTTATTTGCTCTCTCACAAGCGCGAAAATTATCCACAACGTTCCAGCTCCGTTAGAACTCTGCCTGTAGTGTGTGAAATTGTTAAAAACACGTTTTTCTTTGTAAATTATTATTTTAGGCTTGTGCAATCTATAGTTTAAAAAATATTTTAATTTCAAACATTAAAATATGCAAAACAGTTTTTTTAATGCAAATTCCACCATTATATTAAGCTAATATTTGTCGAATAAAATTTTAAAAATTACAATATTATTTTGCCTGATTTTGCCTATTTACAGATTGTTCCACACGAAACTATATGACCATATAAATATGATCGATTAACATTCCCAATTGATAAACAATGTTCCTATTTTCCCCCTCCACAAATCCCTATTTTATTACGAATAATAGGAAGAACAAAATACAGCTTGAATGAAAAAGCCGCTGTCACGAAAAGTTCACGTGCGGGTCTCGTGAAAGATCTTTTCTCAATCCTTTGGTAGACGCGTGCTCGCTCTCCGACTGGATGTTTCCAGTTATTTTTACTGAAGTCGGCGAGCAGGCGGTGAGCACTAGGAGCGAAAAAAGCGGCTTCCGCGGCCCTTCAGAGTTTTTGCGTCGACTTATGGAAGTGCACGCAGGCCTTTTGTGTTGTCCGTCTCGCGGATTTTGCCTCTTGTCAAGCAGCATTGTGCCGTAAATATCAACAACTCTTACGCTCTCATGCGCTTTTACAACAATGCGTGCGCGGCGAATGACGACGAGCGACTACACAGCTCTCAATCATATCAAGCCTCGACAACAATGTTAAAGTTACATATTTGTTAAACTTTTTGTTTACATCTCGCTACATTTTCTACTCTTTTGACGAATATTTATTTTGCATATTTATAATATCCGAAAATAATTTACAAAAAATTCATAATGGATTAAATTTAAAATATAAAATATTATAAAAATAAATCAAACAAGTGCAGGAAATGGGCGCAGCCTTTTACACCTTTTAAGACAAAAACACTTTAATTGCATTAAAAAAAACTTATATACTCTGAACTTTTAGGCTTGTGCACTTCATTGTTTATAATTTCAGCCAAAGTTGAAGTTCCTAGGTGCAGCAGGGGGGTATAAAAATTGATATAAGATTTTTTTGTTTCTTGAGAACATACAAAAAAATTAGTTTTGATTTAATGTAGTAATTCCAGGAATAAATTTGAACTATTCCCATAACT